GTTTCACCTTTTGAGTTGCCGTACTGACATAAATGAACATCTGCACGATATTCTAATTTTTCGAGTTTCACCTGTATATATTTAAACAATTCAAACCTGTATGTATATCTTTTTGCAAACTTATGTTGCAGATCTCTTAATATCTCTTAATGTGTGCTGTTTTTTATTACTATGTGGTGGTGAGATCTTAACAGAAGGATACCCTCTATTTTGACTTCTGTGCTTGAATGATGTACTTGGTAGGGATATATGTATTTCCTGCCTCCAACTTTTCCATGGGTGTTTGAACCCCCCCACCCCAATATATATGGAATTAGTAGTGCAATGAGGGCTTGAAAAGACACTTAACACCTTGTTGGTCCAAGACAGTGAGAGATCAATAGACTCCTGATTTATTAACCAGAAGGAAGACAATCAATAAAGGATAAACTTTATTGTGTGCTACAAAAATTTATGAGCTGCTGTACCTGTGTGTGAACTGGTGGAAATCTTTTACTTCACTAGATACCTCTCTTTCTTTTCAGCAAAGTATTTTTAGCACTGTCTCATCTTACCACATTTATACTTCTCTCTCCCTTGTTGATAATTGTTATAACTATTTGTTAATATTCTCAGGATTTCCTAAGTATCATCGTTTTGCCACCTAAAAATGGAGGCAAAATACTGTGCATGGAATGACCATATTCAAAGTAGATGTACTAACCTTATGACTATTTTTTCATTGCTTTTAATAGGTCTACTATAAATCTATAAGTTCGATCAAAATCAATGTCTTGTTTAAGAGGGATATATATGTCTATCACTCACAGAAGTACTGTGTATTTTTTCATGCCAGGACTAAGCCAGGCATGAATAATAATTATTTGGTCTAACAATGAAAATATATAGGCCAGATGCCTCTATACTACCATGAAGTAGCACAATTAAAAACTTCAGCAACATTGCCTGTTGCATCACAGAACTTAATATCTGTTTGGGAGTAAGGGAGCCACTTGTGAAACAAATTGATTTCTATCTGGCTGTTTCATTGAACCCTCAAGTACATTAAGTACAATGCACTTAAAGAGGAGGGCACAGCTGTAACACCAGGTAATAGGTACTTCGGCGTGTTGAAGTGAAAGGGCGTGAGTGTGCTGCTTTATTGTGCCCTAAACATTTTTAAAATCTGTGTGTTGCTGTGGACTGGTCTATGAGTTTTCCCTATAGCAGCTGCTGTGTGTCAGGCAACTACATCAGGAGAGGGACATAAGTGGTCTAACTACTTTGTAATTCTGCCAATCATTTACTTATTGTTTGATCATAACAGATAGATTAGTAATTTCATCATCTTTCCTTTCTGAAGCCCTCACTCCAGCCCGTTATCTATGGTTAAACACATGTGACTCTTCTGTATTCTTTGATTATATGCATTTTCCTCCTAAGTACCTTGTCCTCCTAAGTAAAGTTGTCCATAAATGTTGAAGAATGTTTTCCAAGCCAGATAATTTCTGTTTTTCTTCTCTCACGATATTCATTAATGGTTTCTAGATAGGATATGAAATGTACAACATCTCTTCTCTTTGGAGGAATGCTATGGAACACATTCCCTCTGGGGTTGCTTTTGGTTCCCGTTCACCCAGTAGAATATTGGTCCCTCCTCAACAGAATATTTATCAAGTCCCCTTCCTTTTGCAGGGTTTTACTATATAATTTTAGAATGTATTATATTGTTAATTTTCATCTAGGTTTTTGACATTTTATCTTTTATCTTTTTAAATTTTGTTAGTTGCCTTCATTGCTCAGCAGAGTAGAGAACCAGGGTATAAATTTAATCAATCAATAAAAAGTATTGTTCTTATATTCTAAAAATAGTGCATGGTAAGTGCTAATTAAAAATTACTTGGCTGATTTATTTCCTGTTAAAGGACCATTAGTGTGATACCTGTTGGCTTTTTTTTCTAATCAGTATAGTTTATTCATTCTTTAGGCAGACTAATATACATCTGGGACCGCCGTGCTCAAGGGACATCAAGAGAAAACGCAAACCAATCGTGGCAACAGCCTCACTTTCCAGCCCCACCTCAGGTAAATGGCTAAAACTGTGCTTCAGCAGTTAATGATATGGAATGCGGCAGTTTGGAGGAGAAGTTATTTGAGATTCATGAGAAGATCCGCAGTTTAAGAGATCTACCCTTTCAACTGTTTTTGAAGATACTAAAAAGCAGGCATCTTATGGCAGCATTATATGAATTTTTCATTTGCTGTACACAAATGCCAAATTTAATACTGGATATTGAAGTTACTGCCCTTTTGGTAGTAACTGTTGGTCTGCAAATGTTTGAGCAGTGCCTGATGAAAAAGCAGAAGTCAGCAGCAATTGGAGCCTTCACAGCATGTTGTGTTTTGTAGCTCACAGAAGCAGACTATTTTGTATGCTAAAAGATGCGTATGTTGTATATATGCAAACCTGACTCCTTTTACATAATTCAGCCAGACTGCACAATGTGGCCCTGCTTCTTACAAAATTTATTTTATTTTAAAATTGCATTATTAACCTGTCCAGCTACCAGTTGTGGGCTCCTTAGAAAGCTTTTGATAAAGAAAAGTAGGATATTTATGCCTTTTTTGTGTCAGTATCTGGGCATTTTGGCTGAAGGGCATCTCACTGAGTAGGAAAAATTATATTAGGTTTGAGAGTACAGTACTAGTTCTTACGTGCTTGGGACAGGCAGAAGTATGGTAATATCCCAAGGGAATCTAGGCAAGCCTTTCCCAATCTGGTATCCTCCAGATATTTTAGACTTCTGTAATTTATTTTGGAAGATGCCCATTAAAAAAAATTAATAATAAAAAGCATTTCTTGTTTAAGCACAAATTATGAAATATATTGCTATCCATGAGCAAATATTTGGAAAGAACTGAGGTAGAAATTAATACATTTATAAGAAAGATGGTGCCAAAGTTCCTTTGTGTGACAGTACCAAGGAGTCTGCATTGCCAGCCATAATATTTGTTAATGTCCTTCCTGTGCTTAGGGCAAGCTTAGATTTTGTTCATTAAATACATTTGCAGACAGCAGAGCCACCCCTATGACTTGGATAGCAATAAAAAATTAATAAACATTTATATAATGCAGAGATCTGTTCCCAGTGAAGATGCACTTTTTGAGAACTAGTTTAATATAGGGGTTCTTAAACTTTGGCTAGATTTTACTGCTTTTCTGCTCACAAAATATACTGTTCATGCCAAGAAATCTGTGACTGGGTTCACACATTGTACACAGTTATGCGATCTATTTCACTTTGGTTAATTGCACTGTATAATACCAGCCTTTGTAGTTTGTCAGTCATGGACTGTGCTTATTGTATGATGTGATTTCAGCCTATGCATCTTACACTGCTGAGCTTTGAAGCAGGTCCAAGAAGTCCCTGCTGCTTTTGCCTGCTCCAAAACTCAATTCAGTGAGAGCTCTTTTTTTCTCTCTCCAGCATCAGGGCTAAGTGGTGGCTTTCATGCCATATTTTGCTAGGCAGGTGCAAAGGCCAAGTACATTTTCCCAGGGAAGTGGATTGGATTAAATTTCATAGTGTTTTTTTGTTTCAAGAAAATACACATTGACTTAAAATATAAATTATACCCAATCATAATAAAGCAATTGGAAACAGCCAAAATTGTTGGAAACAATTGGAGTGGATTTGTGGGAATCTGCTCAAATAATGTCACTATTATGCATATTTTTCCTTGTTAATCAACTACAGTACAATTATTTACAATTACTCACATATTAATCAAATAATTAGCAATTATTTACAAGTACCCCCAGGATGTTGCCTTAGTCTTATCTATTAGAACTAAATAACTTCTGATAATTATTGCAAACAAGCAAAATATACTGCAGTAGGGAAATGTTTGGAGGGAGTTTTTCTATAACCTTATGCATTAGAAGAGGGTGATCTTTTTGTTCTGGATGGATGCATCCATTGATAGCAGTGATAGATGCACTGGGTGCCATATAGACATAGTAATCAGATTGAGATAACATATATATTTGCTAAATAAATTAATATATGTGTGCATATGCAGGCACTATTCTTATTTGCATCCACCCACATCTCAGCATAAAAGAATTGGTGACTTAATCTCTCATCCCTGTCTGCTGAGATCAGATAGATGTATGCCCTTTGTATTGGAATGATAACCAGTGCTAGTTAGCTTGATCCTGGTTTGCATAGTCTCTTTCTGCTTCAGTGGAAAAGGACAGATATCTTTTTTGCTATAGCAAAGGAAAAACATCCATCACGTTGCTAGCTGTTTTGGCAGACTGGAAGAATGTTATACCTTGAAATGGTAATTGCTAGGAGATAAACAGTCTCTCAAATAACCATGCCTTAAGCCATGTAGGACTGTATAGGTGATAATCAGCATCATGAATTGCAACCAGGGCAACTCACTAAGCAGTGGTGACACATGGGCATATGGTGGCACTCCCATCATTGCCCGTGCCATTGCATTCTGGACCAGCTGTAGCTTCTGAGTGGCTTCTAGGGCAGCCCCATGTACAGTGCATTGCAGTAGAGCAATCATGAAATCACTAAGGCATGGGTGACTGTCTGAAGGGCCTCCTGCTCTACAAAGGGTGTAGCCGGAGCACTAGATGGACCTGTGCAAAGGCCCTCCTGGTCACAGCTGCCCCCTGCTCTTCAAGCAGAACCTATGAGTCCAGGACAACCTCCAGATTGCTCACAGGTCTTGAATGGAACACTGCAAGCCCATCTAGGACCAAGTCTCCAGATCCTGGGGAGGGCAGACAACCACAGCCACTTGGTCTTCTCAGGATTGAGTCTAGGCCAGTTCCCAGTCACTTCCTCCTCATCCAGACCTGCACAAACTCCAGACACTAGGTCAGGAGACTGACACTAGATCAGTGTACAGTACTGTGCAAATGTTTTAGGAAGGTGTGAAAAAATGTTGTAAAGTAAGAATGCTTTCAAAAATATATATTGTAACTATTTATATTTTCAGTTTACAAAATGCAAAGTGAGTGAACAGAAGAAAAACCCAAATCAAATCAATATTTGATGTGACCACCCTTTGGCTTCAAAACAGCATCAATTCTTCTAGATACACTTGCACACAGTTTTTGAAAGAACTCGGCAGGTAGGTTGTTCCAAATATCTTGAAGAACTAACCACAGATCTCCTGTGGATGTAGGCTGCCTCAAATCCTTCTGCCTCTTCATGTAATCCCAGACAGACTTGATGATGTTGAGATCAGGGCTCTGTGGGTTCTTCTTTACGCTGAAGATAGTTCTTAATGACATTGGCTGTATGTTTGGGGTTGTTGTACTGCTGCAGAATAAATTTGGGGCCAATCACACACCTCCCTGATGGCATGGCATGATGGATAGGTATCTGCCTGTATTTCTCAGCATTGAGGACACCATTGATCCTGACCAAATCTTCAACTCCATTTGCAGAAATGCAGCCCCAAATTTGCA